TAATCACTGTCCAAAGCCTTGCCTCTTAATCCTATCACCTCGGAGGTAGTATTTCAACATACAAATTTCGGGGGTATATAACCATTCAGACTATAGCAACGTGCAAATAGCATACATTGAAATGGTACTGAACTGCATTCAGGGTAAAGTAAGTACTCCTATCCATTAGCTACCAGTTCCCCTGCCCAGAGGCAACCCCAGAATTTGTATCCATCCAGAGGAACTTTGTACCTGTATGAGCAACATGCACGTATACTTGTGTCTGTTTACAAAAATGGTAGCATACTATGCATGGTGTTCTGCCTTTTTTTTATCTAGCAATCTAGCATAGAAAACATTCCATATGTACAGCTACTTCGTTATTGTTATTGGCTATTTAATATTCCATTGTATGTGTGTATGAAAGTTTAACCAGTCCTCTCGATGGTGTTAATATCGTTTCCATCTTTTGCTGTTTCAGACAGTGTCATAGTGAATAGCCTTACCCATGTCATTTTGCAAACATGAGTACCTGTGAGATAAACTCTCAGCAGTACGTTTGCTTAGTCAAGATGGTGTGTGCATCTTCGGTAACCTGGAGTACCATGTTACCTTCTATTGTTGACACTCCCACTCGTGATAGGATGATGCCTTTACCCTGACAAAATGTCTGGGTTAAACAATGGTATCTTCCTGTGATTTTATTTTCCAGGTCACTTTTTAAATGTAAATACTTGTATTTTTTTTTTCCTTTTCCTTTCCTTCTTATTCCTCTAGTTCCTGAAAATTTTTCTTGGGTTATTTTTTTTACCTGGAATAGTTGGAACTTTCTGGAGCTTTAGACTTTGTAGAAGGCATGCCAATGACCTCTGGTGTTGCTTTCCAAGGTGGAGCTGCAAATGCCATTAAGAATTCCCTGCTTTTGCCTTAGCACTTTACTCCTCATGTTATTCTCCTTAGGCTCTTGTTTTCAGATCCTGCTGGAAGATGCTTGTCTCCAGGGCAGACCTGGTAGCCCTGGGGCCTAGAGAGGCCCCCGCTCCACAGGCAGTAGTACCAAGAGGCGCCAGCAGGTGGCAGGCAGGGCACCACAGGCACACTGGGCCTTAGGGAGGCACTTCTCTGGAGAGCAGCCAAAATCGGAGCCTTTGGACGGTTCCCAGTGACTTGACCTCCCAGCACTGTGCCCAGCTGAATGTGGGGCGGGTGCCTGATCCTTCCCTCCCACCTAGTTTTGCTGCCATTTCTTAAATGGATGAGCAGTTTAAGATTACCAGCTGCTGCCTTGAGAGGAGCTTCAACAGGCCACACCCCAGGTGACAGCCTGGGGCCTTTTCCCCTTTAGGAACTACCTGGAAGGATTTACATGCCACGGCCTGGGATGGCTTGGGTTTCCTTAATTGTAGGGCCCTACTTCCTGCCCTTTCAGCCAAATCTCCCACACCCTTCCCATGAACTGGGAGGTCCCCAGAACAGGCTCTTACCACCCTCCACCCACTCTGCTATGGTCTAGGGGGAAAAAAAACGAGCCAGAGGTTTGAGAAGCCCTAGGGCAAAAGTGCTAGGGTCCTTGGGCTGCCTTCTTTTGGTGAGGAGCCCCTAGGGACCAGCGGGGTCCAGGGCTCTCAGGCTGATGGTACCACTTCCCTTCCCCCAACTCCTAGATATGTGCCCCCTGAATCCCATTTTCTCTATTGTGTATTCTCTGTCTTCGTAAAGTCCTGCCCAGCATCTCCCTCAGGGGAGGGGTCTGGCTCTTCTGCCTTCCAGGAGGCATGGGGGAGCAGGGAGGGCAGAGAGCTTTGCCGGTGGGAAGAGGAAGGAAGTGGCAGCTGCAGTGATGAGTGCTGGCCTCTTCCCAGACACTCCCTGTGCTCTCCCCTCACAGGAGACTGGCAGTGTTTGGGGTGTTGGCAGCATGCGGGGTGGTGGGGCGGGGGGCCTTGGGAGAGCTGCTTCCCTGCAGCCTCGAAGTTCTGCTCCCAGTTTAGGTCTATAGATCTTCAGGGCCTGCTGGGTTTTCCCCTAGTCTGGAGGAGCGGGATGGGGATGGAGAGGGCCCGGATGTCCAGAGCAGGGATATTTCATCCCTTCGTGAGCTGGTGTGTTCTCTGCCAGGGAGGCTGGAGTTTTCCTGAGGATAGAGCAGCCATAGTCATCTTGGTAGCACTCCAAGGGGGGTTAACCCATGTGTGCGAGACAGAACTTGCTAGAAAACTCAGGGTCAGGCCCCTGCTGGTGAAGCCACAGGGTGGGGTGGGGGGCCTGTGGGGTGTGGGGAAGGGCAGGCAGGAGGCTGTCCTTCGTCAGCTGCCCAGGATCATTTCCCAACAGTGCAGGGATTTGCATACTCACGAGTTTCCCCATCAGCTTCTTGGCTCCAGGAACCAGGAAAACAAGAGGAGGAAAGAGCAAGTGGGGCAGCTGCCTGGAGTTCGATCCAGCCCCCTCGGTGGCCTGAGCTTCAGGCTCAAGGGTCATATTCCATCCCTGTCACCCCCTACCCCTTTGAAGCTCACACAGGGAACTTGGGCAGGCCAGGAAGCTGAGGCTCTGAGAGAGTAAGTTGCCCAGGGCTGCACAGCTAGTGACTGGGGCTTCAATCCAGGTCCTCCTCCCTCTCCTGTCTGCTTCTGAACTGAGGCATCCTCCTCAAATTTAGAGAGGGGCAAAGACCATTGGGTCCCTTCTACAGGTGAGGAGACTGAGGCCCTGTGAGTAAATGCCACCTACTTAAGCTGCTTGAGTGGGTGGTGGTGTAGGAAGGAGGTGGTGGGGAGAACTTGGGAGTTAAAACCCAAGTGGTAGAAAAGAAACATCCTAGGCATTCGGCCTGGTAGCCTCTGAGTAGCTCTGCCCAGAGGCCAGATTGAGAAAGAGGCCTGGACAGCAGGCCCAGCCAGGCCGAGGCTGCCGGGAGAGCGCAGGACAAGCTCAGGCCAGCGGGAGTACCGAACTGACCCAGTCCTCCCCAGAGCCCAGCACCTGGCACATGGCTCCACTGTCCTTTTTCGTGCCTGTCGATGGACCAGCAGGGCCAGACATGGCCTCCAGACATTAGCCACAGCCAGCCAGGAACTGCTGCCCACTGCCCGTCTGCCTGTAGGATCACCCCTCCTCCCCTGCTCCCAGAAGCAAAAGCAGCCAATGACCAAGAATTCAACTCAAGAAGCAAGTGTGAACTCTCAAGTCTATGGCCAGCTGGCAGATGGGACGGGAAGAGGGGTGAGAGCACTCCCTACTTCTTCTAGGCAATGACCTCTGAGGCCTCAAGGCCTCCCAGTCCCACTCTGGTGTGCAGGAGGAGGCTTGGTGGGTGGGTCTGTGGGGCACCTGCCCCTGAGCAGGGGAGCAGGGTGGTCATTTCAGCTGCTCTGCTGGAGGGATTCCCACTTGAATGTTGTAAACCTGAGCGAGTTGTGAGGTGTGGGGACCTTCCCCTCCCCCATCCCTGCAGAGGTCTGAATTGTGCGAACTAGTACCCGGAGCCTGCCCTCCCTCAGGTTTGAGGGCCAGGGCACCAGGACTCAAGGCCCTGCCCCAGTCCTTGGTCTCTGGGACCTTGGGCAAGTCACTTAGCATTGCCAAGTGGCTGATAGTGAACTGGACAGTCTGGTATTTTAGCTTCTTGTCCCATAAAAACCAACAGAGGCCCATAAATAGCCTTTTAACCGAGAATACAGTTCTTGATTGGAAAAGTATTTTATAAATAAGGCAACGACATTTCTTTGTGCAGATAAAACCTGAGGAGGCTGGAAGCAACAGGCATGAGTCACCCTAAATACCACGCAGGGGGCTTCGAGGTGTTTGCTGAAATCATTTCCATATTGTGCATCGATTCCTGCCTTAAGTGTAGGCTTCTAAAGCATGTTCAGGTAAAGAGTGAGGTGGGGGCCTCATATGCGGGGGATCGCCAGTGTGGCATTTTCTTCAACACGCTGTACAGCTGTTCTGTGCTAAAGCAGTCTCTAAAAAAATCAGATGTAAAAGCTTCACAAAGTACAAATCAGGTGAGATATTCAAAGATATATTTATTAAGACTATTTTTTCCATTTTCCCTGATGGTGTGTGTTTGGGGGGTCATCTGATAGGCCAGCTTTTCACTTAAAATTTAACATTCACACCGCATTTTTCATCCAGGAAAAAAAGAGCTATTCTTTTAAGGTCAGACGAGGCATTTGAGATGGCAGATGGAGCTAAAACCCTGTGAACACAGCCCACAGCGGTAACACCCGAGGCCTCTCAATGAGCCCTGGTGCCATCAGGTCACTCGCCCTACAGGTATTATTTCATGTGATCCTTACAACGACCCTGTAAGGTAGGTACCATGCTTATTCCCCATTTCACAGATGAGGAAACTGAGGCCCAGATAGGGGCAGTCTCTTGCCGCAGGTGACATAATCAGTGGCAGAGCCAGTTCTTGACTTTGGGACCAGGGCCCCTACCCTCCTGGAGGGTACCCTGGCATTGCTTCTCCAGGCTGCCTCTGCCCTGCTGCTCCCCATCCTGCTTTGTGACCCTGGCCTAGAACATAGCAGTATCTGGGAAGACAGGCCAGAGCTGAACACCCCAAGGGCTCCCCCCATGCCTATCCTAACCAGTCTCTCCTGGAAGCCATCTTCTCAGCCAGGTCAGAGCACAAGAGGGGAACAGCCCACCCCAATGCCCCCTTCCCTGCTGCAGCCACAGAACTCCAAGCCCTATTATACTTGTGCTTCCCTCTAGCCTCCCCGGGCCCCTGTCCATGTGTCCATGGCCACCTTCTAGCAAGGCCCAACAAGGCCTCAGGAAAGATGCCCCAGCCCCAAAGGGACTGAGTACTCTTCGTGAAACTTGGATACCTTCCTTCCAGAGAAGGGTCAGAGCTGGCCTGGAGTGGCTTACCCCCAGGGTGAAGACAAGTCAGGGCTTCACATCTGCTGGCCTTCCATCACCCAAAGGCCAGCTCAACACCCCCTCTCCTAAGTGCAACAAAGACAATCACCTCTTAAAAGGGCTCATTGATTGTACTTTATTGATGTTACAGACTTCCCACTTAAAATACTTAAAATTTATACCTTTGCACAAACATACACATGTGCCCCCATCCATGGGGAAGGGTGAGATGACTCTTGAGTACAGAGGAAGAGAGGGTAGAGACAGAGGGCCCTTGACCCCCAGCAGGGGCAATGGGACAGGTGAATAGAGGGGTGTGGAAAGTAAGTAATTAAGAAGCATCTTGCTTACTAACATGAAGCCTTGTGCCCAACAGGAACACGCAAGAGGCCTCATCGGTGTAGGGGGCCCTCAGAGGGCAGGCACATGGTGCCCAACTAGCCAGCCCAGGCTGGCATCCCGGGGGCGGGGCGGAGGTGGGGGGCGGCACACAGGGTCCCCAGCCCAGGTCTCTGCTTCCCCCGCCTCCCTCCCCGCCCTCCGAGAGAAAAGAGGGTTTGGGCCTCAGCCACGGACAGACGCCATTACTGGCAGCGTCTCCTTAAACTACAGAGATACAATGTGTATCAACAGGGTGATCGCTTCTGACCACTCAGGCAGACGACTAAAGGTGCTGCATGGGCCAGAACCAATCCTACAGTATCTTTGGTTTGTGGGTTCCTTCCCTACTTTAATCCTCCCTCTGTCCAGCCTCCAGGGTGAGCCTCAGGGCTGGGAATGGGCTGCTCGAGGGCCCAACGCCCAGCCCTTGGAGGCTGGTGGTGTTGCCCTTGCAGGCCAAGGGGCGGCTTACTCATTGGGGTGCTGGGACTTGTAGGAGAGGATTTCGGCAGCCAGCTGCTGGGGGTCCAGGAGCTGTGGGAAGCGCCCCATCACAGCCTTCACCAGGTGTCGGGGGAAGACACCACACAACTTGGTGTACACACTGGCCTGCTCCTTTGCCAGGCTGCCTGCCCTGCCCCATGGGCCCCCGCCAGCCCCTGGGCTTAGCACCTGGGGCTCCTGAAGGACTGGGGTGGGTGGGGGCAGTGGGTATGGCTCAGACCAGTACTCCCGAGGTGGAAAGGCCGGTGGTGGGGGTGCATAGTCGGGGACACTGAAGTGGCCAGCACCCACAGGCCGTCCAAAGGCAGGGAAGGGTGGAGTGGCTGGGAGCTCAGGTCCATAGGGGCTGTAGCCAGCGTAAGGGCCCTGAGGTGGGCCTGCCTCACCAGGGCCGCCTCCTCGAATGCCCCACAGTTCTGACATCTGGCTCTCTAGGGAGCCAATGCCTGAATCCAGGCAATCCTGGGAGGTGTATGGGAGTGAGTCCAGGGTCTGTGGGAGCCAGTCCACGGGCCCAAAGCTGCTGCCACTGCCCCCGCTAGGTGGGTGGCTCCTGCCTGATGGGGCGAAGGTCTGTATTGGACCTTCCCGGCGGGGCCCTGGGGATGCTCGGGTGCCCAGCTTCTTCCCATCCAGGCTGCACGGCTCACTCTCTGTAGTTACAGAGTCGGACTGAGATGAAGGTGAAGGCCGCCGGCCACTTTTGTCCTTGCTGAGGGCCCTGGGGGGTGAGAGGAGGGCGTTGGCACGGAGCTCATCAGCCACAGAGCGCTGGGGGCGGCTTGGCCGCTCTGGATGGAAGAATCGGCACTTGATCCCATACGTGCATTTCCTCCCTGGAAGAGGAATGAAGAGGGACTCTAAGCAGGGGGCTCCAGAACCAGAGGCAAGAGCAGGGAAGGGGTGGCAAAGGAAATGGGGTTGGGTGGTCCAATTGTGGTGGTCCCCGAGAGGAAGAACTTGGGCACGGGCCAACCTAGGGGGAAGGAGGGGAAGGAGTGAGGAGGGCTGTGGAGTGCTGGGCTGGGCCCCATACCATAGGGACATGGCTGCTTCCTCTGCTCAGAAGTGAGTGGCTTCTTACGCAGGAAGTTGTCCAGGCTGGGCCCGTGCCGGCCCAAGGGGTCATCAGGCGGCATGAACCTACAGAGGGCGAAAAGAACTCTCAGGAGGTGGGAGACATGGAAGGGGACTTCTAATTGCTGAGTGGGGGGCTAGACAGCAAGCCTTGCTGGGAAGAACAGGAGAGGGACCCCTAAAACTGGTACCTGTCCAGTAGGACACCCCAGAACTGTTCTCTTGGTATGATCATCCCAAGAAAGGGGAGAAGGATCCCTTGGTCCAGAGGGCCACAGTCCACAGTCCCTTAGGGTGACTTCCTCCCTGATGTTGTTGGGAGGCCAGCAGCTTGAGTATCTAAATCTAGGGCTCATCCTCTGCCCCCTGGCTTCTGCTCAAGAGATGCAGTGCTGGGGCCAGGCATGGTGGCTCAGGCCTATAATCCCAGCACTTTGGGAGGCTGAGGCGGGAAGACTGCTTGAGCCCAGGAATTCTAGACCAGCCTGGGCAACATAGTGAGACTCTGTCCCTACAAAAATAAAAAAAAATTAGCCAAGTGTGGTGGCATGCACCTGTAGTCTCAGCTACTTGGGAAGGTGAGGCAGGAAGATTGCTTGAGCCTACAAGTTTGGGGCTATAGTGAGCTGTGATCATGTCACTGCTCCCAGCCTGCACAACAGTGTGAGACCCTGTCTCTAAAAAAATAAAAAAATAACCAACCAAACCAAACAAAAAAAATGGCGCTGGGAAGGAGAAGCTTTCTCGGAGCCACTGACCACATCCCCTCACAAATGTTACTGCTCCATACCCCAAATCAAAAAGCACAATCCCCCCAGCCTGCTTGGTCCCAGCCTGATCTCTCTCGTGCAGGAAGCTGTCCATCTCACTCCCAAAGCTGCCTGGAACGAAGACCACAGCCCACATGGACAGGGCCCAGGAGAACCCACCTCCAAGCCCCGCCCTCCCCAGGGCATCTCTGGCTGTCAGGGCCCCTCTGGGGCAGGAACATACTTGTCATTCACGAAGGAGTACATGAGCAGCCGTTCCTCGATGAAGCGCTTCCACTCCTGCCGCTCACCCTGGAGGTCACGGTACGTGTCATTGGAGACCACAACCCCGTCGGACTCAAAGGCCAGCTTCACAATGAATCTGTCATCGTAGCACACCACTCGCTTGCCACCCACACGCCGTGATGGTGTGAACACCAGTATCTTCTTCTTCTCCAGTTCCCGTAGGATGTGCTGGTCTGGGAGGTGACGGGGCGTAGGTCAGGGCCCAACAGGACCCAGAGCCAGGCCCGCAGGGCTCCCTAACTTCCTGGTGGCCAGGCGCAGGGGCTGTTAATGCCAAGTTCACAAGGGCAGGAACCAGCTCTGCTGAGGCCGCTGCCACACGCCTGCCTCTTGCCGGGGCCCTGCAAAGTTTGCTGCTGAAGACCAGGAACACCTAAGTGCAGGGCTGCAGGGCCCGTTCAGCAAAGGCTCCAAGCACAGAGCCGGCCCCGCACCTTTCCCCCTCTGGACATCAGGCCTGTTCACGCCAGACGTGGTCTTGGCTTTGGCTGTTCACCCAGCCTGTCCTATAGGGGTGGTCCGTGAACAAGCTGCGGCAGAAGTATCTTGGCTCTGTCCCTTGCATTGCCAGGACATGGTCACTAGATCTCATGGGGAAGGGGCCCCTTTTCCTGGAGCCTATAGCCCCAGCCAGCCTACTCCCAGATTGCAAGACTTCTAGAGAAAATGGCTCAGTTTTTACCCCCAAAGGCTGGAGGCTCTTGCAAGAACAATGATGACAGCTAACGGGCACTGAGCACGTGCTCCATGCCAGGTCCTCTTCTAAGCACTTACTGTGTATTAAATATGATCTTCACAGCAACTGTGTGAGGAAGTCACTGTTATCAACCCCCAACCCCCTCCCCATTTACAGATGCGGAGCAAGTGGCTCAGAGCAGTGCTAACAGAGGTCCTCACCCAGGTCACACCGACAGGAAGGGACAGAGCCAGGATTCCAACCCTGGCTATCTGGGCTCAGAGCCTACAGGCTTAATCACTACGCTGCGCTGCCCCTCTGCCACTGGGGATGTTGAAAGAGTGACCCATCTGCCAGTAAGATGAGGGACGTGCCCAGTAACTGAAGCAGAAGGCTAGACAGTGTGACCTTCAATGACCACTGTTCAGGACAGGGTTGCTGAGGACAGAAAAAAATAGGAAAAGGAATGCTGGTCCCTGTTTGAATTCTAGAAGTTGTTGGTCATGCCCAAAGGGTCCTTCTTGGGGAGAATCAGGGCTGCTGGGGCAGTGAGACCACCCTGCCTCCAGAGGTACCACTCACCCGTGATAGGCACGTCGGGTCTTGGCTGCTCCTTCCTCCAGGATGGCACAAATACTGTGATATCTGTGTGGCCCCGCTCGAGAAACCAGTTCACTGCCAGCAGGATGCCCCGGCAGGAGAAGACCTCCTTGTTTCCATGGCTAGGAGGAAGAGGGGACACAGTCGGCCCACACAGGCCCACCTGCTATTCACCAGGCCTGAGCAGGAAGGGAGGCAGGGCCCTCTGCAGTTGGGGGCCCAAGGCCTCCATTCCCTGTGCTGGTTCCCACAGAACCAGGATGGCCAGACTCGGCTGGGACTTTCCCTGAGGTTCCATGTCCCGAACGTGAGGAAACACCCAAGAATCTGGCAGCACCCGCTCCCCATGGTGGGGGAGGGTCAGGCCACTTGCAACACACCTGGGGGTGGGGGAAAGGCGCCGGAGACTTCTGGTTCCTGCCCCACCCGGGAGCCACTGGGACCACAGGGACGCAGATGTACACGCAGACTGAGTCACCACCCCTCCCTGGCTCATGGTGCTGCGGGTGGGGGTGGGGAAGTACCAGCAGGGCTGACTGAGGAGAAACCAGATCGTTCCGGATTAAAGTTCAGCCCGCACAAAACCCTCAGGGGCTGAGGCCTCAGGAGGGCAAAGGGGAAGGGACTGGCGATTCCCACCTTCCACCCGCAACAGGAAGCCTTTCAGTTCGAAAGTGAAAGGACACTGCTTTTCCTCCCAAGACAGCCAATTCCCCAAAATGCCTGGCCCATTCCTGGCCTCCCTCACCCGCCTCTTCATCCGAGGCAGAAAGACGGTCAGGAAGACACCAGGGGACTCTGTTGGCAAGGACAGCTGAGGGATGGGACATCTTCCCTGCCTCGGTCTGAGGACCAGACCCCACCCTATCCAAATGTGGCGGGATCGAGAGGGAAGCCTGGAGGTGTTCTGGGTTGCTGCGGCTCTTAGTTTCTCTGTCTAAAAAATGGGCCCAGTCTACGACCATACCACCCTGAACGCGCCCGATCTCGTCTGAAAAATGGGCCCAGCAGCGTGCAGCTTCCTTAAGAAGGGCCATGTCAGTGAGATAACCTTCCTAGTTGGCTTGAGGCCAGAGACAGTCCAGCAAAGTGGAGGTTCCAACTGGATTTCCTGGGAGGGGAGGTGAGGGCTCCCAGGTAACACCAGGTGTCACAGAAGGGCTCCTGGGACCAGCAGTCCCGGCCTCTCACTGCCCCTCAAAGAACAACTCAGACTCTCATGTTTGGCAAATAAAACAGAATACATGTTACGCAAAAGAGGCAGGTCCAGGGCCGACCACATCCTGTGGGTGGCTTTGGGGGTGGGGGATGAAAGCTGGAGCCTCAATAGAAGACAGAGGGAGGTGAGGCAGCTGGGGGGCACAGAGGTTGTTTGGGGGTGAGGCTGGGCACCAGGGTCTGAAGGTCTCTGTAAATCGTAGGGGAGACAAAGTCCAGCCCCAGGCAGCACTCATCCCACCTGGTGCTCCCCCACATCTGCCAGCCTGCTCATAAAAGTTAACATTTACTGAGAGCTGTGAACGAGGCCCTGTTCTAAGTGCCCAACACTGAATCATCAGCAAGCCCATGAGGAGGGCACTATCATTATCATCCCCATTCCCTCTTTTCCAGATGAAAACTGTGGTCCAGAGAATGTAACTTAGTCGCCAGGGTCACACAGCAATAAGGGTGGAGGAGAGACGCAGACCCAGCACCTGTGCTCATAGCCACCAGGCACATTGATGCTTAGGCAGGTACAAAGACAGGCATAACCCTGACCTCAAGGACAGAGTGGGAATTAGCAGGTACTGAGCTGGAGGCCACATACGTTGCCGCATCCTCACAAGGCTTGCTACAGTGAAGGAAAGGAAGGTTCCCTGACTCATCCAGGGTCACCTGGCTAGTGGTGAGATGGAACTTTTTTTTCTGAGGCAGAGTCTCGCTCTGTTGCCCAGGCTAGAGTGCCGTGGCGTCATCATAACTCACTGTAACCTCAAACTCCTGGGCTCAAGCGATCCTCTTGCCTAAGCCTCCCAAGTAGCTGGGACTACAGGCATGCGCCACCATGCCTGGCTAATTTTTTCTATAGTAGAAAGAGGGTCTTGCTCTTGCTCAGGCTGTTCCCAAACTCCTGACCTCGAGCAATCCTCCCGCCTCAGCCTCCCAGAGTGCTAGGATTACAGGCATGAGCCACTGTGCCTGGCCTGATAGTCAGAACTTGAACCCTGGTCTGGGGCCACTAGATTGCCTTCCAGTCTCTAACAGAAGACCCAAAGTTTATTTGGGAGAAAAATGCCGCCCAAATTGAGTTTGAACAAGTGTATTAAGAGAGGCAGGCTGGGGACAGGAGAAAGCCTTCCCAGACTGCCAGGACGGGCCAGGGGTCTGGTCTGTGTCTTCACAATGTCCAGTGTTTCTCCATCACATTACCCCTTCCCAGTGGCTTCTGCTCTGTCTTCCAAGACTGTGGGGTATGGTCACCCCTGGCATGGCTCCCTGTCTCAGGGATGCAGTCTGCACGTGCACCCACCTGTCTCCCTCTGTACACATGCGTGTAGGTGCATGTGCCCCATGCTAGGCCAGTATCTTCAAGGCCTGGGACCTAATGGGAGGCCAGGCCTCCAAGGACATGCACTGCCCCTGAGCACTGAAAATCTTGGCTGCGGACAAGTTTGCTTTCAGCAACCCTAGCACCTGGAATATTCCCTCAGCAGGTAGTCAGAGCCCTACTCTTGGCAGAAGTAGAACGTGTGAGCCTGGAGTGCCTCCCTACAGCTAACTTTAGTCCCTTTCACTGCACTGGAGGAAGCTCTGCTGGCACAGGAAAACCAGACATCCTCCCACCCCAAGTCCTCTTTGCCCAGGAGGTCAGGGCCCCCAGCCTGGCTAACCAGGCACTGATAAGATGTGTATGTTGGGGACTCCAGCTTGGCTGCTTCTGCCCCAGGACAGACGGCAGGGCTGGGCCGGAGTCCCCAGGTGAACAGATCTGCCTGGGCTGGGCCTGGCTAGTGGAGAAAAATTCCCTTAGAAGGAAACAGAGGTGAATTTCCCCACGATTTGCATATGGTGGGGGCAAGGTTGCCTGCCCTTGGGAGAGGGGGTGGCAGGGCAGGAACCCAGCAGCAGCTGAGACAGGAAGTTTGAGGCTGGAATTCCCCTCCTGCCACTGCCCCAGCTCAGAAACCCCCCCTGGGTAGGGCGGGTCTTCTGCCTTTCACCAGTGCCCCTCCTCCCAGGTCCCTCCTCCTTCTGCCAGGACTCAAACACACACAGCACATGGCTGCTCCCAGGGCTCGGCCATTCCTAGCTCACACCCCCCAGAGGAAGGAGTTACAGATCCTTCCCAGCTCCTAGCTCAGTGGCTTGAGGCTGGAGCCTGAGAGGAGACCCCTAACTCTCAAAGCACAGGCTGTGATCCACTGCCCTTGGCATGAGAGCCAGCTTTTCTCAGCCTCCCACCCAGGCTCTGCCCAAGTCAGAGGAAGGGGCTCACCCAAAAGCCTGCTGAGCTGGGCCAGGACAGCTGACTTGCCCCAACTGGGCCAGGAGTAGGTGGGGCCAGGGAGGGCAGAGGCTGACGTCATGTCAGCCTCAGGCAGCCCACCTGGGAAGATCCTGGGGCAGCTGAGGAAGGAGCCCTTCCCACCCTTGTGTCTGGGGTCTCCCGGGCCAGGCCAACAGGAACTTTTCCTTGTCCACCCAGTCCTGACTCACTGGCCTGCCTTGGAGGGAAGTGGGAGAAAGCAGGGGCAGAGGCTGGGGCCTGGATCCAAAAGAGAAGTCTGGGTTTCCTAAGGTCGGCAGCAGCCCTGGGCCTGGCTTCACCCTCTGCACCCCCACCACTCCCCATTGTGAAAGCCTACTTGGGGGCAGGGGTGGGAGTTACTGGGGCTGAGCCCCCAGAGACCAGGCCAGCCCTGCCAGCTGACTCAGCAGGGATCCAAGTCACAGCTCACCTGGAGCCTGAGCATCAGGCCACCAGCTCACACCCACCATGTAGAGCCAGATCCAGCCTTGAGGTCATTCCTGGTCATAATTACAAAGGCCTCAGTAGCTGGGCCTGCTTCCGTGGGAGCCCAGTTCTGGGACAAGAAGGCCTCAGAAGTCCCAGCCCCTGTACAATAATAATAATAACAGCAATGACTGCTGTTTACCGAGCACCTGCTACTCCCCTGGTTCTGCGTGTTCGCTCCTTACAACCACCACCTGAGAAAACAGAACTCGGGGAGGGTAAGTGACTGGCTCCAGGGCAGGTGAGCTGAAGCTCCCAGGCTGGTCCCCTGCGCTATCTTGCCTCATGTCATAGCACAGGAGTTGGGATAGAGTCCTGGTCTCAGGGAGAGACCACAGCACAAGGGGAGCTCTGGATTGGAATCCTTCTATCAGTTACCGGGAGTGTGGCCCTGGCCAAGTTTTGAGCCCCTGAGTGTTCATCCCCAAAGCATTTCTAATCCACCCCCTTCAAAGGGGTCATTCATGAAGGTTAAGGGAGCCTCCTGGCAGGCAGTAGGGCCTTGTACAGCGCTTTCCTTCACTCTAGACCAGTACATGAGAAGAGGTCACTCCTTCCTGAAGGCCCTGGGACCAGAGTTGCAGAGACATGTGGCCACCCTTCTACGTCCTGGCCACGGAAACAACACATACCTCATGGCCACATTGCTCCCGTCGATGACCACCGGCCTCAGGTCGCTGTCCTCCTTGTCCTCCTCTGGGATCGAAGGCTCCAGGCTGGGCGCCTTGGGGGTGCCCCCGCCCCGGGGGACCAGAGGAGGTTGAGGGCAGGGGTCGGGCGAGGCCTGGCGCTCCCGCTCTGCAGCTGACCCGTGCTTCACCAGCTCACCCAGCACCGTGTTGGTGTCTGCCTGCACCCCCAGCTTCTGCAAGACGCTGTGGATCTCAGTGGATGAGTAGCCCAGCTTCCGGAAGAAGTCCACCTTCATCTGCAGCTCCGAAGCAGATGCCTCCTCAGCAGGGGGGTCCTGGGCCGGCCTGGGAGTGCCCTGACAGCTGTGGCTGTCCTCAAGTTCCCACAGACTCATGGCAGGGCTGACTTCCTCGATGGGCCTCTGTCCACAGGGGCCACTCATGGCTCAGACTCCTGGAAGGCACCGGCCACAGCTCCTGTTGGACAACCACCGGGTTAGGGATGGGAAACGTGTCTCTTTGCCGTGGGCCACATCCAACAGGAGGAGGCAACACTGACCAATGGCACTATACAAAGCTATCCTCATGTGTTAGCTCAGGCTGTCCTCTCAAAAGCTCTCCTAGCCAGCCATTATCATTCCTATATGTAAAGGGGGAAACTGAGGCACAACCATGAAGAACTTGCTCAAGGTCATCCAACTGTTGGCTGGCCGCGCAAGGATTTGAACTTAGTCTGACTCCACCACCCGCACCCGCACCTCCACGCCAACCCAGGGGACCCGGAGGCAGGGGCGGGGCTCTCAGATGGAAACCTGAAGTTGGAAGTGCGCCGAGGGCCGCGGGCTTCCCCATGAGGCCATCAGCTTCGCCTACCCGTCCCGAACTCCGGGCCCAGGAAGCGTAGGGCCAGCGGCCAGACTCCCAAACCCGGGGAGGGCAGTTTCCGGGGTGACCCACCGAGGACAAAAGTTCCTGGAAACTCTGGGCCGCCGGGCGCTGGTGACGTCGAGGCTGTCCCGCCCCGAGACCCGCGCTCTCTCGGTTCCCCTCTGGACCTTGGTCCCCCTCCCTCGGCTCTCCTAACTTGGGCTAAGTTAGAGAGGGTCCTGCGGACCGGCGAAGCCCTGGGCACCGTCCCACGTCCCTCCCTCCGGTCGGAAGCGACCGGAGCCCTCCCCACCCCCTCCGCCGAGAGCCCGAGGCCCGCGACCCTCCCCGCCGCGCGCCTCACCTCGCCGAGCGCCAGCCGCGGCCCGCGGTGTCTCCATGGGGCCGAGTCCCGGCGCCAGGCCCGCGGCTCTTTTATACGGCCAGGCGGGCCGGCAGGTGGTGGTAGGGACCGTGACGCGGAAGCGGGGCAGGGGAGGGCGGCGAGAGCTGGTCCGGGGAGACCGTCCCGGGGGCGGAGCGGCCAACACCCCTTCCTGCTCCGCCCCCTCGCCGCCCCGCCCCGGCCTCCGACCCCGCCCCGCCCCGCCCCGCCCCCGCCCCGCGGCGCGCAGGGCCCGGCCGGGAGTAGGGTCCCGAGCTGGGGACGCAGCCCCTTTCGCGTGCCTCGCGGCCTCGGCGGCGACGAGATCTGGAGGGGAAGGTGAACGGCCCGTGTGCGTAAGATAAGCACCGACTGAACCAGGTCCACGCGCCTGCCAGGTACGGACAGGTAGAGCCGCGAACGTTCGGACCTAAGAACGTGACAAGTACACCCTGCCTGAGGAAGGTGCAATCGGGGGCACGCTGAGGGAATCAGGCGCACAGAGGCTGGTCCACAAACGGTTGGAGGTAGGTCCATAGTTACAAAGACAGGTACAGAGAGACAGGCACTTTCCAGACTGAGGCAGGACCACTGAACAGGTGGGCTGTAACTGAAGCAGTTGTGCAGAGGTGGGGCCACACCCAGGACCAGGCACACTTCTTCTGAAATAAGTACCTTTTCCAGGATAGAAAGGCAGGTTCAACCAGCAGATACGCAATGACGGAGGCGGGAAACCAGGCAAAGGAGGGACATTTACGCCAATCACCATATAAATAAATGTTCATGAAAAATACTGTTACCCATGCTACAAAACTCACCTGACTCTGCCCCCACTGGAAGAAACACCCACCAGCTCCCTGAGGATGCTTTTAGTTTCCCAGGTCAGTAATGATCCCTCACACCAGCACAGCACTTTACAGTATCTATCCATGGGCATAGGTGAGGAAGACAGAGGTCAGTATGCCCATTTTACCCTTGAGAAGTTCAGAAAAGGTTAAACTGCCTCAGCTAGAAAGACTTCGAACCAGGACAAAGAGCTCCCATCCCAGTGCACCAGGTGCCGCGTTTGCCACTTTGGAAACCACCAGTGACCTAGGGCAGAGGGGAGCTTGGCTTTGTGTGTGTGTGTGTGTGTGTGTGTGAGAGAGAGAGAGAGAGAGAGAGAGAAAGAGAGAGAGAGAGAGGGGGAGGGAGAGAGAGAAAGGGGAACATAGAACCCACAAGCTAGAGGGCAAAGCCTCCACAATGCCACCAGTACTTACCGTGTGCCAGCCCTTTGCTAACACTGTCTCTGCCTTATCATAGACTTGTGTCCTGAAAGGTAGGTGTTAGTGTTATAAGAAAAAATTGTTTCTTGTAAAAGACACCGTAGACACAACTATACACGTAGTGCTTAAAGAATAACAGTAATTTAAAAAATCCACATATTCACCACCTAGCTTGAAAAACAGACCAGTGCCAGTAGCTCTGAGGCCCTCTACGTGCCCCCATCACAGCCTCCTCCCCTCATTCCGAAGAATCCCGAAGAAACTTTCCTGAATTTTAATTGTGCTGGTCATTCCCTTACTTTTCCTGTAGTTGTACCGCCCTTGTGTGAATGCCTAAATAGTAGATTGTTTAGTTTAGCTATTTTTCTACTTCTTGTAAATGGAATCATTCTATAATTCTATGACTTCCTTTTTCACAGTGTTATATTTTTAAAAATCCATTTCTGTTGCCTGTTTACCTATAATTTATTTATTTTACTGCTGAATAGTGTTCTATTTTGTGAATATACCACTGGTTATTTATTCATTCACCTGTTGTTAGATGTTTCTAGGATTTTTTTTTAAACTATTAGAAAGAGTGTGCTTTGGATATTCTTGTACATGTCTTAATGCAGCTGTAGAGCTGAGGAAAGGGACAGGCAGGGAAAGGCGAAGTCACTTGCCCAGGGTTGCAGCCGGTGGAGCTGGAATTTACATAGCACTCCTCAAAGGCAGCGAATCTCCCCATCCCCTTGGCTAGGAACCTGCTTGTTCAGGAGGCCACAGAAGACCCCAGGGAGTGTGCATTTCTTGTTGGGTCCTGAGGCTGTTCCTCTGAGCTTACCTGACCCTGCCTAGCCATGTGCCTGCTTTGTTGTCTGGTCATCTTTGAAGACCCCAAAGTGTCCCCTTCTCTGTGTGCCCCTGTCCCCAGGTACAATAGCCCCAGGGGCTGGTAGCCTAGGAGAGAGGGAGCACAAGGTCCCCTGCCGCATGCCAGCCCACATGCAGTGCTGGGCACCTCCCACGCTGGCAGTCACTCCAGTAGAGCACTGTACAGGCTGTAGCCCTAATCCCACAACAGCTCCTTTTACAGATGAGAAGAGCTCAGTGATGTCAGGTGTTTATTCGTAACTACTTTCAAGATAGGAAAAGTATTCAGTGACGTGTCCAGGTTAATAAATATCATGATATCAATAGTGAAGCACGGCGATAACGCCTGGCATTGACAGAGTGCTCACTGGACGGAGCTGCCGTGCCAGCGCCTTGCAGACGCACCTGCCTCTGCTGGGCCTCTTCCTCTCCCAGGAGTGCCCTCCCCTCCCGCCTGCTCAACAGCTGCCTGGCCAATTCCATTCATCTCTTTGATGATGTCACCTCCTCTGTGAGGCTTGCCGAACCTCCTCAGTGCTGCCACAGCACCCTGCCTATGTCCCTACGTGTCTTGCTGGGTCATCATTGCTAGCCTGGGACCTCCTCTGGGCCGGGACTAAGGTGGGACTCCGCCCTTGCTCCCAGGCCCCTGCTGCCCAGCGCTGCGCTAGTGGGAGTCAGCGGGACGGTGATGAGTCATGCAGCTCCCTGCCCTCCCTGAGTGAGCCGCGGTCTCACACTCTTCCGGTTCACGAAGACTGCTTTTTCCCGAGAAGCCGACTCTCTTCTGCAGAACCCAGGGCTTCTCCGGGGAACCCCTGCTCCACTTATAGCTGGATTTTGCAAACTTTGGCCCCAATCCCCAGGAGCCCACGCATCCTCCTCTGCCTTTTGCATGCCTGTCTTGGAAGCCAGGCTGCAAATTTCCTTCCTGGAACCTGCCAGCCCTCCCACCATCTGCCTGTGCCCAGCCAACCTGGGTGAGGTCTGCAAAGCTCCTGGGCTGGCCACCCCCCACGGAGAGGAGGGAAGACTGGAGAGGGAAAGGTCGCGGGAATGACCTTGGACTTCAATTGCTTCATTGGGCACCTCAACCTGGGGAGGACCCCGGAGCTAGGCCACCTCCATAGGAAGGCTGGGCGGGCTGCAGAGGTGATGCTTAAATTCAACAAGGCCTGCTGGAAGTAGAGAAGGGACAAGGTCTCTCCCATGTTTTGAGGCTCCTGGTATATTTTAAAAAGCCTTGTCACAGCAGGGCAACAAAAATCGATGTATGTTTTAAATGGTAATGGAACAAATTAACTCTTTTCTTTATCACGTAGTCAGATGCAGTACCATATATTTGGACTATTGACAAGATAATTAGAGAACTTGTTTTAAAAATACATTATTTCCTTGGAGAAATGGCTGATTCTAGGACTGGGACAGGGAAAAGACGAGCCTGGAGCATCTTGTGGTGCCACAGAGTTGGGGAGTGCTCAAGGCACCAAAGGATGGAGGCGTGTCTGAGGGACCCGGGAACCAGAAGAGCTCCGAGTGGCCCAAGCTGGAACAGTTGGAGCAGTGGAATAAATAATGGAGTAGTATTGGATTATAACCCAAAGTATAAAATAAATATTTTTATTTTATAAGTAAATTTTTTTTTTTTTTTTTTTGAGACAGAGTCTCTTAGTTGTCCAGCTAATTTCTTTCTATTTTTAGTGGAGACGGGGTCTTGCTCTTGCTCAGGCTGGTCTTGAACTCCTGACCTTGAGCCATCCTCCTGCCTCAGCCTCCCAGAGTGCTGGGATTACAGGCGTGAGCCACCGCACCCGGCCTATAAGTAAAGTTTTGAATTAATTTCTTTCTATTTTTAGTGGAGACGGGGTCTTGCTCTTGCTCAGGCTGGTCTTGAACTCCTGACCTTGAGCAATCCTCCTGCCTCAGCCTCCCAGAGTGCTGGGATTACAGGCGTGAGCCACCGCGCCCGGCCTATAAGTAAAGTTTTGAATAAATTTATTTTGAATAAATAACTAACTGGAGGAGAAGAGGCAAACCTTCCTTACAGAAGAATTCTCCAGAATGAATGTAGATGCTCCTCCCTCTAGGAGGCGGAGCTTGGTGATCTCCTCCCCTTCCCTTGAGTGTGCTGGGGACTCAGGTCTTGCTCCTAAATAATAGAGTAGGAAAAGATAAAAATAGTAACTTTACAGTGGAGAAACCTGGCAGACACCACCTTAACCAAGGGATCAAGGTTAACATCACCAGCGATATGTCAAGTGGATATTACGTACCTGCCCCTTCTAGCCCCCTCTGATGTTGTGTGACCAGAAGCACACTTCACCTGTGCGGTATTCTTTCTAAAAACCCATAACCCCAGAGAAAAACATCAGACAAACCCAAATTATAGGACATTCTACAAAACACCTGACTAGGACTCCTCAAAGCTGTCAAGGTTATAAAAAGCACAGAAAGACATAAATAGTCATAGACCAGAGGAGACAGGTTGACTCCTGCAACAGAAAGAATAGTAATACAAAAGCTGGTAAAATCCAAATAAGGGCTGTAGTTTAGCTAATAGTGCTGTGCCTACGTAGGATTTTCGAGTTTTGACACATGGCCCACGGTGGTGTGAGATGGTAACATTAGGGGAGACGGAAACTGGGGGAGGGGCACACAGGAACTCTATGTCGTATCTTCGCAACTCTTCTACAGACCTAAAGTTAATTCCAAAACTCAAACGTTTATTTAAAAAAATGCCCATATAATTTTATGGGCCTTGCAGATGGCGTGTTTTGGTGATTGTGACTGAGTATAAGCTTATTTGGAGATAACGTCAAAGCCTGAACTTGAGGCCTTTTTGTCTAAGGGGCCCCAGGCCAGATGCCCCTGTTGTCTCTCCTCTTCCCTCAGCCCGCCCCCCACCCCCACATCCAGCCACCGCTCCTCCCCCTTTTCTGAACCCTGGGATCAGACTGCTAGAGTTGGAAAGCCCCACG